GTTACAAACTCCAGAACTCTAAAGCTGGAGTGTGGTTAGTCTGAATGTGTCTTTGTACCGATTGTTTCAAAGTGTAACTTTTCTCTCCAAAAAGTGCACGGAGGGCAAAACGTGGCAGTTAGCTTAGTTGCCCATGACTTGCTGATGCTGTGCAACAGCATTTAATTGAGTTTTATGGCGCTGCTCTCATCACCTCCCACACAGAGCGCGTTGGACCTGAGGGCATGGGGAAGGAGACGCTGGTCTAACTGGAACACACGGCCTCATCCCTCACCTCACAAACACCAGCTCTAAACCAGTGTTTCTCAACCCCTGGTCCTCGGTACACTAGTGTGCCGTTAGTGATGGTCAGGTGTAGAAAATCATCCTATTTCACCTCATTGGTCTAAAAAGACTTTTTGATAAGGAATTAATTATCTGCAAATAATGTTCCATTTTTGAGTGTGTGTGATGTTCTAGTGACTGGTGGAGTAATCATGTAATAATTCCTTATGACTAGATTTTGTATTTAATTTTGTATATTGAAGTGGACGTGTTAAGTGCAATTCGAAAGAAGAAATATAAAATATGATAAAAATACATTTTTGTGTTTACTTAATTCCTATTCAAGACACTTAAGATAAAATAAGAATAAAATAAGAATAACTATAGTGTTAGTATAGGCGGCTACAGATTAGTTTGACATTTTTGGTTGGTGGTGTGCCTCGAGATTTTTTCGGTGAAAAAATGTACCGTGGCTCAAAAAAGGTTGAAAAACACTGCTCTAAACCAGGCAGACTCTGGGTTTCACTTTGGAGATGTGTTCACCTGCCTAAGTCAGATCCATTGTTTCTCTGTGGTTTGTGCTGCAGTGCAGCAGAATACCAACACCTTCCCTTTTCAGGACCCCACCGATGTGTGTGTCTCTTTTTAGGTTTGCCCATGCTTCTGTTGTCCTCTATTTGACTGGAAATAAGCAGGAGTGAACTGATAAGGACTCATCCACACTCTTTCAGCCCTCTGTGTGATCAGGTGGAGAGAAACCTGTTTTGGGGCCATAATCCTCCTGTTCCCTTCTCCATTCCTGCTTTGTTGGGTCCATCCGAGCCCTCTTACCCTCAGTCACATCACTAGGGCTCGTTTAGCTTCGCGTCTGAGAAAATTCAACAAAAAGGTGATGATGGCTAATATGCTGGGTTTATTAGGGGTAGGAAATCTGACAGAGTGTCAATTTATCAGGTGAAAACAGAAAAGCAGCGGCTGCTCTCTCTCCCTCCCCCCACCCTCATTAGAGCCCCTCCAAACAGGCGTGTGGTGAAAATATGAATGGG